AACAATCTGATCATCAACAGATTCTTCGTAAAATCCGTCTTTGTCTAATGAAACACTCACATTAGCTGCTGTTTTTTCTCCGCCTTACCATAATAGTTTAATATATGGTTTTTTTTCTGTGTCGAAAACTCAGTGGTTTTTTTACTTTATTTCTCTCCTTTTTTCGTAAAACGAGAGCTATTTTGACTTAGCATTAAACTTTTTTCACACTATAGAGTAGTAATTCATTGTTAAAACAAAGAGCTCGCGACAAAATGATTTTTATTTAACAAAATAAGAAAGCGGATTTTACACTGGTGACCGAAAAGATTCAAATTTTTTGTCCCACCTCATAAGTAGGAACTGAAAAAATCAATTCTGTTAGTAAAAACGGCTAGAGAGAGTACTTTACAATTAAATTCTTAAATGTTAAACTACAAAATCGAAATTGCTGGTTACGTGACATTTTTGATTACACTTTTAAGGAAAAAAATTTTGCAGCGATAATGTTTATAAAAATCTGAGGTTGACAACAAAATGGCAACCATTTGTACATTTTTTTTTGTTGCTACTTTTTATTCGTTCAGACTCGAAACAGCTGGCAAGAAATAGTTTATTACTGATTTGTCTGCAAATAACCAGGCAGTCTTTCTTCCTCCTAATTTTGTTTACAAGTAAATATAAGCGCTTGCAACTAGAGCAGCCTAACTTAGAACCTTCTCACGATTTCTGGCTACAACATAAACGGTTTTCTTAGATTACAATTATGCAATGCACATAGTCTAGCAAACGCTTTAGTGTAGCTAAAGCAGAATCGTCTTATCTATAACTGAATAATAATTTTGTATTTTTTTTAATTAAACAAAAAAGTATATTGCAGTTTAAAAACAGGATTTCATCGCTGTTCATCCTGATAGTCACGAAAAACTGTTTACCCAGATATCCATCTGTCAGTTTTAACTGATTTCTCTTTGCCGATTCTTAACAACAAACTTTTTTTATATTTCGTCGATTTTTTTAGAGAAATACCTTAATGTGTAATACTGCATGGCTATCGACTACTAATTAAGAAAACTGATAAGAAAAAACATAGGACAACTTCAGAACAAGCTTCGAGCTTTATAAGTCAGGGCTCAGAAAAATAGTTTTGAGGTTGCTAGAAATTAGTTTTTTTAGCCACCGATATCACACAATTTTTAAAAGTCTTTTGCGGCTGCTACGCTTTCATAACTTTGTTCATTTAAATTCGATCGTTTAGCGATGTATACTAGATGTGTGGTTATCTGTTTGATCACTGTCACCTCTTACGTTTGCTCGCTTAATTTGGTTGTTAATACAAACTACGGCCCTGTCCAAGGTTTTATTCACAATGCAGGAAATGGAATAAACGCCAGAATTTTCTTAGGCATTCCGTTTGCGAAACCTCCAGTTGACAATCTACGATTTGAGGTACAATGTACAGACAAACTACAGTTCTGTAAAAAAGTTTTGTAGTCAAATATCAAATTCAAATCTTCGTTGTTTTAAATTTAGAAACCAATGGAACCGGACAAATGGATAGCACCAATCAAAGCTACAAAGTACCGTTCTGCTTGTTACCCACATGATCGCCTCGGAATTCAAACCAATCCCACTCTGTTCAGCGAAGACTGTCTTTACCTGAACATTATAACTCCCGCACATGAGGGTCGCGGTAATATCTGGTCGACGAATACGGATAATCGAGAAGAATTTTCAAAATGTACGACAACAGATTGTCACGAGGTTAGCGGTTTGTGTTCTGCACAAAACATTTCTATAAAACTAGTTTTCATTGCTTCATTCCTCGCTTTTCCAGCAATTGATCTTTTTTCTTTTTGTCCTTTTACAGCTTTTTAATTTTAATTCATGCTACTTTCAATAATTTTTGCTCTCAACGGTGATTGCCGAAGAAGTGCTAGTAAACTCTGAATCAAAAAGCCCTCTTCTTGTATCAGCATCTGTTCTGCTACTTTTTTGTTCCTTCATTATTGTCTTCTGTTTATTATTTTCTTTTGTAAACTGATTTTACAGAATCAATTTAAACGGTTTAGAGTAACGCGAATTACGCAGTGATGGTATGGATTCACGGGGGCGGATATGAAATAGGGTCTGCTTGGAAATATGACTATAAACAAATTGCCAAAAATTTTATTTCACGGAATGTTATCGTTGTCACTATCCAGTACCGGCTTGGTTTCCTCGGTGAATCTATAAGTCGATTGAAAACAATTGTATAGTTCAGTTAAGCCACGGTGAATTCTGTAAATGTACAATTTTAAAGAAAAAACTTTAAGGTTTCTTTTCTACTGGCACTGAAGTGATGCCCGGAAATTTGGGTATGTGGGATCAAAGTGCAGCACTTAAATTTGTCAAAGAGAATGTTGCATATTTTGGTGGTGACCCAGATAGAATAACTGTTTTTGGTCTTAGTGCTGGTGGCAGTTCTGCAAGTATCCAGACACTGTCTCCTCACTCACAAGGTAAAGAGTTTGAGATAAACACAATGATTCAATTTTTTGTTCTTACTTCATCTTTAAGGAGGTGCTTCGTTTTAGCTTTCTTTAAGAACAGTATACAAATGAGCGGGAGCTCCTTCGCACATTGGTCTAGAAATGAAGTAGTAGTCGGGTCTAGTTTTGAACTGGCTAAAGAAATTGGGTGCCAGACAACCAAGTTGAACACAATAAAGTCTTGCTTGAAGAATAAGACAATTGAGGAGTTTCTAGACGCTGCTGACAGAACAGTTAGTTCTTTTATTGTAGTAGGCTCTATCTATTTTTTTTTTTAACTCATACTAATAAACATTGTTGTGCACCTGAAAAGTTGAATTCTAACAGAAGATGTCAACAAGTGTTTTATTTGGCTGTAAAGCTAATGTAGAAGTTATGATTAGCATGTACAGGGGGCAGTTAGTGACGAAATCTATGGGATGAAATATGGTCCTCGCGTTGACAATGACTTTTTGCCGAAAGACCCGGAAACTTTAGTTAAGGAAGTGCCTAAGAAGCCAACAATCATCGGAATTACAGAAATGGAAGCTATTCTTTTCAGTTCGTTGGATTACTTAAATTATACAGCAAAACTTCTTTTTGCAGACAATTTTTTGTCTTTTGAAACCGTACTGTGACGAATTTTTATTGCGCAAGCAAACGGTACTGCAGTTTTGAATTTTGGCAAAAGGAGGGAGTAATTAATTTGAAGTAGTTCAATTCTAGCAAGTAAATAAACTTGATTAATATAATTTTTAGCACTGTCTCCTGTAGCAAATGCGTTAACTAAGCTGCAAGTTGAGCCAAAGAATTTGACCAGTTACAGTCGAGAAGATTTAGTAAATTTTATCAGGAATAAAGTAGCGAATGAAAAAGATTTTGGAAACCAGTCGGGAGAAGTTCAGTCAAAAATTATTACATTCTATGCTGACTTCAAAAACGAAGTAGTGCATAAGCATAAATATTGGTTGAGGAGGTACACTGAGGTAAGCAGACATTTACCAAATGCCTTTTTCTTTATAACAAGAGAAGCTTAAACATTTTGTAATTTCTGATAAAAAGTTTTTTTTGTCGTCAAAAATGTAAGTCGTAAATTTATCTTTCAAGTAAAAATTTGCTGGTTGAACGGTCCAAAAATTTCAAAATATTCTGCTAGAAATACAACAAAAGATGCCTTATGAAATCCCATAATCAAATTTTAATGATTTGCGTTTAGTCAACGATTTTCTTTTGTTTGCAGCTTATCGGCGACATCTTCTTTACTGTGCCTGCGAGGAAAGAGATTGAACTAAAAATTCGAGAAAACTGGCCCATATGGATATACCTTAGCGATTACTATAGTCCAGCGCTATATGACAAAGACTTCGCAGTAAAAGGTGACTTTGATTTCTGACTAGAGAAACTTTAATTAAATCTATTTCTAATTGTAGAGAAATTGGGGGTTTCAAACATTTTTGACTATTTTTAAAATTATTTGCAGTTTTTTTATTAATAAATGTACGTGATACTTTGAATTGTCGGCAGTTTTGTAGCTTCATTTAAATTTAAACAAACTGAAAAGAAAAAACAAAATAAATGTTTTAAAAATTATATGTATTTAAGTAGAGAAAAATCAGAAATACCATAAAGTGACTTGAAAAAGTTTTTATCTGTATCAAAAAAAGCTTCGAGCGCAAATAGAAAATTAATATAGTTTTCTTTTTTAACAAATATTTTTTTGTCATTAGCTGAAAGTTTACTTTCAATTTTTTGAGGTGCGACACACGGCGGCGAAGAAGCATACATGTTTGACAACTTTTACATGAACCGTTTTGCATTTGATGACAACGATAGCAAAGTTCAAAGCGCAATTTTGGATTCTTTTACAAATTTTGCTAAACAAAGGTCTACAATTGATTAGAAAGTGACTGCTTTCAAAATACTGAAAAAGCAAAACAGAAATCGAACTTTTTTGGTCGAAAACTTTTTAAAATTTGATTAAATACTGTTTACTAAGAGCAGCTTTTGACTTCAAAAGCTAAACTTCTTGACTGTTATTCAGCTGCATTAAGAAACGCACTATTTTGACTCTGTTTTGTTTTTTGAATATTTTCATAATGACCTGCTAATAAAAAAAAACTTTTTAGTGATCCCTCGACAAAAATTGTTTGGAACCGAGCAACAAACGAAAGTCAAACTTTGCATTTACGGTTCCGTCCTGAGCCTCAGATGAACAACAAGCTTTTTGATAGAGCTTATGAATTCTGGAATTCTTTAGAATTTTATGGCTATAGTATAATAACAGGGAAGAGGAGATAAAATAGAGGATGCGCTTTTATCTACCTGATGTTTATTCAATTACTTATTATCGTTTTCTACTTGAAAATATTACAATTATGATATAGATTAAAACTTGCATATAAAAATGCTTTCAGGATCTATGTATTGACGGCAGAAATTTAATACCTTTCAAAGCTTTCAAAAATAACATAAATAATACTTATCTTTGTTTATTTGTTGCAACTCTGAGCGCTGGCAAATGAAGCAGTGGAATACAGCAGTAAGTTGGCTCTTCTGTATTCAAAGATAACTGTATCTGCTATGAAGACCATTTAGCTTCTCAAGCTTAAATTTTTTGGCTTAAATAACTAAATTAATTCTGAAAAGCTTGACTGGTTATCTGCTTTAATTCATATGGTTCGGACCGCAGATCTAATGTTTCCAACTTAAGTATGGTAAGAAACAGCTAGAATTAAGCGACGAAGAATTATGAAAGGTAAACAATAGGCCAGAAATGAGCGAATACCAAATAAACTGCTTTTTTGAAATAGAATTAGAGGGTGGTACGCATAGGCGACAGTCGTACGTTACCACGGTAAAAATTAATTTTAAGTGAAGTATTCGCAAATAATTTAGTTGTGGAAAACCAGTCAAATATCACTCAACTGAGTGCTAGGTAAGAAAGACGGTGCCAATTCCTCTTTTCATCAAAAGCTGATAGCCAGGAAACAGGTACAGTTAGGGCTTCAAAATCAGCTTGAGATATAAATCTGTGTTGTTTGATTACAAGATACACCAGAGTTTTTCTGAATGTATTGTTTCTATTACTCATGTGACTTCCACTGCCTCTGCTATAGAAATACTGATACAGACCCAAGTTGTTCTAAACCAGGAAAAAAAAGTGGTCCTAAATCACACCGTCAGCAATCCTCCTGACGAAGAAAAGCAGTCATCCTTTTCTGCAGTAAACTTGAAGGACAGCTTATATTCTGTATCAGTGGGCATCACTGTTGCTCTCTTGCCTATTTAAAGTTATAATGTTTTTGAACTGTGTTGATTCCAGAACCATTTTTGAGTGGAATTAGCCCATTTCGTCCCAGTTAGTGGTTTAGCAAATTATAATGTCCTTTCTCTTAAAAAGTGGACTCTTAATCACTACCTGGAATTAAAATCACATCGGTTGCAGTAGAGGGGAAAATAATGCACAATATTTGGATCAAGGACACAGTCTGAGGTGCTAGAAATCTGTCAATCAGGACCTCGACTAAATTTTGTCTTCTCAAGCTGCATTGCTAGGTAAATCATCGTTAATAAATTTATGCAAGTAGTAACTTTCATCACTGAATGAACAAACACAGATTCCAGAGCCACGTAAACTGGTACAACAATAAGACACCAAATTTTACAACAAGAATAAAAAAACGGATCCTCACTAAATCACAGCCTTAAAACATCGATACTTGATCAAAATTTCTGAACAAGCGTAATATTTGAATAAACTAGCTTAAATAACTTCTCTACCTCTCAGAAAAACCAAATAAAAAAGCTATTTTTGCAACAACAGAAGGAGACAAAAGCAGTGCAAAAGAAACCAAAATCGCTTAATAACCTAAATAGATAACCCGTCAATAAGTACTCTTACTCATATGGATTAGTGGTTTAAAACTGCAAGTAGCTAAATTGTGCACATTTCATTTGTTGAGATTAATGGCACCAAAGATAGGAAGTTTTGAGGGTCAATAACAAAAATACATCATTTGTGTGATATATACATTAGCTACACATTTCCGTACAAAGACCAAAAAAAACTTCAAAATAACATATGACTTGAAGGTTAAACCCGTTTTGATCTGTTGATGCACCTGAACTGCTATTCATGATAAAGCAGTAGAAGTTTGAGGAAACAAATTTTACACACTGATTTCACTTCGAAATTGTGGAATCAAACCTAGAAACATGCAAACCAAGACTGTTTTCGAACCCATCAAAATTGGCAGCAGCTAACCTCAAACCAGCTATTCCATTGGGTTCTACAAAGATGTAGTCTGTATATGACTTTCTTCCAGAACTCTGAAATCAGAAGGATGATGGAAAAAAAGGATAGTCTAAAAGGCCTTGAAGAAAATACATATCTAACCATAATGGTCTAACATATCATTAAAAAACTTGAAGAATGTCAAGATCAAAAGATAAAATAACCTCTTCCAAAACAGATTTCGACTGATTGAAATCTACTTTAAGCGCTCTTTGTAATAGCTCGTAAGTCAGCAGAGTTACTGCGAACTGGGGACTGGAACGAAATATTCGAGCTCCAGCCCCTTTCCAAAACGCTGTTATTCCTTCTTCCTTCATTACCTAGAAAATGTAGTATCTGGCACAAGCACTAATTTCTTTTAATTACCGTTCGAAGCTTTTATTAAGCTTTGAGAAAAGGCATTAAGAAAACATTTAAAAGAACTACCTTCCGAGCACAGTCGAGTAATCCATTATATGTCGTTTGACCTGCGCGAGCAGCAACTTGTAAGCGAGTTTTTATGACATCAGCTGGAGTTACTAAACCTGCCGCTGGGACACCAGCTACAAAAGCCGAGCAGAAGAGAGACGACGGAGAATTTTTACCCTAAAATCAAAAATGCGATAGTCCCTTGACAGAAACAGTTACACACAATGCTGCTCTCTTTTCGTTAATAGCAGCTATTGAAAACAAAGCATATAAATCGAGACCTTCCAAAAAATTAATAAACAAGTAGGAAGAAAGAGAAATACAACAAAAAACCCACCTCTGAATTCGTGGTGAGAATCTTCGCATGCGCGTAGACAGGGAAATAGATGGCTGAGAAAGGAATATCTCTTAAGAAGCACGCTGTAGCCCCT